ACTGCTAGAACAGACAGCAAGACCTCCTGAAGCAAAACCCACACCCAGTATAAAAGTAAAAACAGGTCAGAAGAAGGCTCCAGGAGACAGGCTACTCAGAACAGGAAGTGACAGCAAGAGTAGTGATAGAAAAAAGCCCAAACTTCCCCATGACCAAACACAAAGGTGCTAACACCGTAGCTAATTTACTGTGCATCTACATTAACAAGTAGTTATTAACATCATCACAGTTTTGTAGGTGTGAAACTGAGGCCTCCAAAGTTTAAAAGGTAAACAGAAACTCAACTCTAAACCTACCTAACCTGAACATGACATTACCCACCAGCCTATCTTTTCCCTTAGATTGTGAAATAAAAAAATGACAACAGCCAACACAACGACAGCCATCTGGTGTCAATGAATCAAAATGAAACATAGGTTTTTTGTCAGATCGGCAAAAAATATATATTTTTTGGTGTGCCGCAGAATTTTAGTAATTAGTTTATATGTGCCATGAGATGAAAAGGTTGCAACTTGCTGGCCTAAACCCTCAGGTTGTTGATTTCAAGGCACAGAGGGCCAACTGCACTGGCCAGGACAAACCTCTCAAAAGGTGAAGTTTAGAATCAGAAGCCTGAATCATAAAAGAAAGTTGACTCTCCTTAGTTTTGGTTTTGTTTCACAAGACAGGGAAGCGTGGCTCAGGTTTCAGAAGGTCCTTTATCAGATAACCTTTTTAGAAAGAACTTCTGGAACTTTAGAGGGCTATGTTTGGTAGCTGGAAATTTCACTTAGATGGAGCTATTCTGCAATGCTTCATGGTAAATCAACTACTGCTGTGCTCAACACACACATGAAATCCTTAGTGTGGACTTCTATGTGGGTGTTTAGCCTAAGAACCATTCTTTCAAGTCTCCTTAGTGGTTTCTGCACTTTGTAAAACACGTTTTTCATCATACCCATCTGGAAATGGCCAATTCTTAAACTTAAAAGGACCAGGCTCTTGATTTTGGTTTTATTGGGTGGAGCCTCTGGGCTGGGCTGGGCTGCCATCCGTGCCTGTGTGAGGAGGACTTGTGAATAAGCTGTGGATCATATGCACACCGGTGTTTTCAAAAGGCATATATTTTAGATTTCAGAAATGGAAAAAGATTCCGTTTTGTGTGCATATGTTTCTAAAACCCTTTCGTTCAGCCTGTTGGCTGGTGACTCAAGTAAAAGGCAGCAAGCAGTGGCTTCTTCTCACCACAAGAAGTGGCCTCTCCCTGTTTGCTCAGATGGCCCAAGACCTGCCCTTTTGCCCTCGGGCCACACTAACCTGGCAGGGCCACAGGGTCCTCTGGGTTTTGCCCATAGCTGGTGACTCAGCCCCAGAGCAGCCTGCAGGTGCTGGGGGCCTGGATTCCTGAGAGTGGCTGGAGGGCACTGACTCAGGCGAAGCTGAGGCATGTGAGTGAAGGTTTACAAGCAAATGGAACAAAATTCACAAGCAAAGTTTAGGGGAAAAGTCTCTGTCTGGGGGTTACTCAGTAATGGCCTAGACCAGTGACTTTCAACTGGTATGCCACAAAAAATTTTTTTTAAATTGATCTTAGAGATAGGAAGGGAAGGGGGGAGAGAGAGAGAGAGAGACATCTATAGGTTGCCTCCTGCACTCACCTTGACCCGGGACTGAACCCTCAACCTAGGTATGTGTCTTGACCCGAAGTCGAACCTGCCACCTTTTGGTGTACAGGACCATGCTCCAACCAACTGAGCCACACTGGCCAGGGATGCGGCAGGTATTTTCAAACCATACAATACCTGACTGCTTAGTCAGAGGCACTGACCCCTTTTCCCTTAGATTGTCAAATAAAAAAACGACAGCCAACACAACAACAGCCATCTGGTGTCAATGAGTCAAAATTACACCTATGTTTTTTGTCAGATCGGAGAAAATTATCTATTTTTTGGTGTGCTACAGAATTTTAGTAATTAGTTTATATGTGCCATGAGATGAAAAGGTTGAAACTCGGTGGCCTAGACCCTCAGGTTGTTGATTTCAAGGCACAGAGGGCCAACTGCACTCGCCAGGCCAGCCTCTCCCATCAGGGCCCATTTCCAGGTCACCAGGCAATATTTGCAGTTAATCCTGCACAGAGGAAGAAGGGGGGGGGACACGGGCTGGCTGATTTTCCGACTCTCTTACTCATTTCCCTTTTGCAGGGATGTTACTGCCGTGTTGTCTCATCAGAAGGTCGGTTCAGACAGTTTTCTCTTGGTGAGCATCCACTCAATAGGCTTTAAGAGCCAAACCCAATTGGAAACGTGCACCAGAAATGAAAGGAGAAAGGAGGCTGATTTCCTTTGATAGTCAGTGCTTTCCACACCCAGGAGCTCCCTTGGAACAGAAATGAGAGGGGGGAAAGAGAAGAACAAGACAGCACTTCCAGGACTTCAATTAGATTAACTGTTCCTTTCACAAGAAAGTGAAACAAGGCAGTTGGGGAGAAGCCTATTTATTCTGAATGCAAATGGCCAGGGGAGAATGTTAAAAATACCTTGCCGAGTGAGAGGTTGAGAGGGCCGGATGTGTCTTTCTAAATACAAAAATTAATCAGGATGCGAGAGAAATGGGGAGAGGAGGGGAAATGGGGGAGGGAGAGAGAATGAAGGACGAGGTTAAGTAGCAGGGGCTTGACCCCAACAGACCTTTCCTGACAATTTGGCACTGGGGGAGAGAGACCCCAGAAAGATTTTTTTTCTGACCTTCCTGACCTTTCTGGTTCAAGCCAGAAGCCTAGAATCAGGGAGCGGGAAGAAAAACAGGAAGCTACTCAGTGCAGATAAGCTAGCCGATAACCTGTCACTGGCCTACTCCAACCCAGGCAAGAAACTACAGTCCTTCCCCTACAAGAGGCTTCACCAGTCTCAGTTCTCCCCATCGCTGGAACTTGGTCCTGTAAGGGGAAGGGGTACCCCACAGCCCCCAACAGGGCAGGAGCATGTCTTCCTGGCCTTTCACACTGCAAAACATGCTTAACACCATGTTCACCAGCTCCTGAGTTTTTCCTTCCAAAGCCGTGCCTTCTCCCTCTGCCACTATGAATATACATAAGATGACCTCTTAACAATTTCCCTGGGAGATTTGCTGGCATAAGCATAGTAGAATTTGGCCCTCAGTTCAGAGAGGTGCTTAGTCAAATTTCTCTGAGCTCAGACCCGAGCTCTCTGTGCATTAGCTTCAGTTTGTGCCAACCTCCTGCAGCCCAGCCAGAGGCACCAAGAGCAAAAACACCTTATAAAGAAGCTCTTCTAACAGAAATTCTTGGTCAAGTTCACTGGCAGGGAATGGGCAGCCTTGAGAGTCTGTGCAAATGCGTCCAAGGGTGTGCATTTAACTTAGACAAAGAGGAACTGGTGAGTTGCCCTATGTCCTTCACTGAGTCAAGAGATGGGCTGTGATTAGAAACTTGGTCTTATGACTCTTTGTCACAAGAGGCATCCATCCAGGAAACCCCTGGGTTTTCAACAAAGACTACCTCTTGTTAGGGGGAAACCGTTATGTAGGTGAAAAGTAGTCATCTGAGGATAACAATGACATTGATTCACAGCTTCACAGTCCAGCACTGGTTTCGGAGGGTCCTGGACCCAGGCCTGCATCCTGTACCTCTCTCACCAGCTGGCCCCTTGATTAAATTTTCAGTACAGTGGTAGCTCGGGTTTCGAATGTACTCCGTTCCAGAAGTCCGTTTTGAGCTCTGAAACGTTCAAAAACCGAGGGATCAACATCCAACAGCTGGGCCTCAGGATCTTGCCCTCAGTGGAAGCCATGTGGCATGTTCGACTTCCGAGGCGTGTTCGTAAACCGAAGCATTTACTTCCAGGTTTACGGCATTTGTCAACCGAAATGTTCGTCCACGGAGATGGTCAAAAACCGAGGTGCCACTGTACTTGCAATGCCTTGGTCACAAAGAAGGCTCAGACTATTTATCAGCCATAAGGGGGCACTGAAAACCCATCAGAGCAGTGGCACGTTGTAGATGCTCATCTGGAGCAGACATGACCTTCTACACAGAAAACTTTTGCTTTTGTTTCAATGAGGAAACACTGTAAGACAGAGCCCACTAGATGGTACAAAGCTCATTCCCATTCTTGACATGACAATGCTGCCTGCTCCCTCAGCTAATTTATAGGGCGCTTGTGTTAACATGGCATTTCTGAAGCAGTCACAGATGTCTACATGACCACGTGGTGTCTCCTAAGCCACCCATTTCCACAGTGACAGCACCGATGCTGTGAGACAGGCTGAGTCCCCTCGGGTGACTAACTTAAGTTCTCTGGGCTTTGGTTGTTCATATTGGCCAAATGGAGGCCGTAAGGACCCCCCAATTTCCCAGAGCCATTGTGAGGATGGAATGAATTGGTATTTATAGAGCAATTAGAAGAACGTTTGTGAGATACATCCAGCTTTGCGACTCTAACCTGAGCAGTACAGATACAAGAATCAGTGCAAATCTTTCATCTACCAGCGGAGACTCCAATTTTTAACTGTAAGGAAACCAGCTGCCACTTCATAATAGCCTGATCCTATGCGGCTGGGTGCAGAGGAAGTCTCCACTTGGGGATCTGGCTACTATTTTATTAAGGAAGCCCGTAGGGTTCCTATATGTGGTCGCAGCAGTGGAAACAGGGAGATCTTCAAGGGGGGAGCAAATTCTAAAGTCAAGAGCTGGCGTTTTGTAATCCACCCCCCACCCCACCCCCGCAGGGAATTTTCCTCACTGCCACCTTTTGAAGATAGGATGCTACTCTTCACGCAATTCACTCAAGAAAGCTCTTCCCTCACACTATGGGACCAACTAGGCCTTTCTTTCCCTCTGAAAATGAATGCCATCTTGGGGTGCCTGGGTCCCAGGTCTGGCCTTGCCTTGTTCAGCGGGCCTGGTGTTAGGGTATGGCCATTAGGTGGCGCCGTGGTCGGAGCCGGGGCCAGAGGGAGTGTGGCTCAAGGCCGCACGGTGGGCAGGGCGGGTGCTTACTTGCAGTCATGCTTCTCGATTTCAAAGTGCGGGTTGAAGTTGAGGACAATCTTCTGGTTGGGTTCAGGCGCGTAAACAATCCACTCGCAGTTCTGGTGGGACGGGTAGTCCTGGGGGTAACCTGGCGAGGTGATGTAACCAGCATCTTTGGAATTCAAACGACCTCCACAGGGTGGGTCTGAAAGACAAGGCAAACAGCCCAAGGAACTTCAAATATGTCCCAGCCTTTTTTTCCCCCTCTCCCCGTTTCTCTTCCCTACCAGTGGCTGATTGAGACTGTTTCACAGACCTTTTATGGCAGTCCAGAAAACGAGCCTACTTGTTCATTCAGTGGAAGAGATTATTTCAGCTCATCTTCGCCCCACTCACATGACTGGNGTCCAGAAAACGAGCCTACTTGTTCATTCAGTGGAAGAGATTATTTCAGCTCATCTTCGCCCCACTCATGTGACTGGACACACACACACACACACACACACACACACATGCACGCACGCACACACACACGCACGCACGCACATGCTCCCCAAATGGAAATATTCCACAAAATGGTCATAAATGTTCCCAATCACATGCTCTGGGATGAAAAAACACACACACACACACAAGAAGAAAGCTGCAAACTTAACATGCCTCCCTGCCTTTTCCTGTCTCCCGGCCTTGGCTCATCTGCGCTCGTTCAAACCTCTCATCTCTCTCTTTACCTCGTAAATCCTTCATGCACGCCCGTGTCTCCCAGCCCGGCCCAGCCCAGCCCAGCCCAGGCGGCCAGAAGTAACGGCTCCGGGAACTGACAAGAGCGGTTTTGTGGTGCCGATCCACAAGCAAGGCTGGTAACAATTACATGTGATGCGGAGGAAGCATTTCAGCTTTGGGCCAGAACAGGCCCTGGAGGGTGATTTCAAGCTTTTTTTTTTTTTTTTTAAAGAAAGAAAAAGCAAAACTCCCAAACACTTAATTCCACACACACCACAAATTTGATTTTTTATTTCATTATACACCAAGTGGAAAATCTGCATAGGAGAATCCACCGACGCTGACCTCAGAGTTTCGACAAAGAGTGCTTTGTGCCGAGTGGACGGCTGTGCTTTTCCGTGCTCTCTGCCCACTGTCCCTCCTGCCTGGTCACCACCACCAGAGTGTGCTGCTGCTTTGTCCAGCGGCCACCAGCCCTGGGAAAGGCGGCTGGCGGAGCATCCCCCCTTCCCTAAGTGCCCCGCTGGAGGGAAACAGCTTCACACGTGCCAGGAGGGAAGGGGGTGATCTTCAAAGGCAGAAACGGTGGGAGATGACATTTGAAGGATCTCTCATATCTGGGAGTGAAGTTCTTCAATCCCCAGGAAGGGTTCCTGGGAAATGGGGGGTTGTGCTTAATACCACAGTAGGAGAGAAGACAAGAAGACACAAGAGACCTGGAAATATCCAGACGCCTCTCGGAGACCTTCCTGAGAGCTGTGCTGCTCTTAGCATCAATCACGATTTAATATCGCCATCTGCATGGAGCAGCGTGGGCCCGTGAATTATGTATCAGGGCTCAGCAGCCACCCTCCAGGACGTGGTCTTTCTCCTGTGTTCACTCTTTGAGGGAAAGGGTCATGCATTTTTTAACTCTACAGGTGCACTTTACTATTCCCTGTGCCTGTTGGCATTACTGTCTTCCAGAACTCTGCTTTAGATTACCAGGCTGACAGGCTCTAAATGCATAAAAGATGGGCCGCTGCACAGTGGTGATTGGGACACACAAATCCACACAAGTAGCCTTTTAGGCATCGGAGCCTCCAAGATCTCACACTGTGCCCTGTTGAACTGCCCAGAATCGAATGGATTCAGATTCCATTTCCTACTGGGTGGAAAACAAAAGCAGGCCATTTCCTCTGGCTCGCAGAGACCACATCAACGGCTCACTAATGACCCTGCACCCTCCCCAGGTCAGCAGGACAATGGGCCCAGCCCTCCAGCCTAGATGAAGACGAGGCCAGCAGCGAGGCCTGGTGCCACCACTTCCTCTGCAGCCAATCCCCGAAGGCTTTCCAGGTGCCCACGCCACTCACCCAAGCAGGGCACCTAATGTCTTTTAGCACGTCAAATTGTGGCCCTTTGGTCTTGGCTCATATATGTGAAACAGGACAAGAGCGACCCTCAGAGAAGGCAGAGGTGCGGGGCTTAGATCACCAGCTGTCTTACCAAGCTAGGAGGAGAGGAAATTTTCTGCTGACCTTTTCTATGGAAAGAAGAACTCCACCCCCTCAGTGCTGCCAAGGCGCCAAGTTTAAGCTTTCAGTAATTAGAGCAGGCACACGTAATCAGCAGGAAAGACAGGAAACTTCCTCATAGGACGGTTTCGTTTCTGACCCACACCAGGAGTCATCACTTCCCTAATGAAGAAAAAATTTAAACTCTTTATGTCCCCTAGCTGACTGCCTGTTCTCCTGGTAAAAATACTTCACTCAAAGGAAAAGAAGTAACCCATTTCTTTTCTTCTGTCCTTTCTTTATCTGAAGAAAATGAAGGGACTCATTAAAATATTTGAGAACTCATTAAAACATCTGCTTTGTTTGTGTGTAGTTAGCCTTGCCAATATCCAAACATTTACAAACTCACATTCTTGTCTGGATGGCACTCACACTCAGAAACACAAACACATACACCAGGTACACAAACACATTAGAAATGAACACTTTAGTTCTGTACACACTTTCACACCCTCTCATGAGATATCAGACATCACCTGGACAGACAAAGATCCATCAAGATAGATACTGGAATTTCTGCCTTTGTGTTTCTTGGAGAAAACCAAATTTTTGAAATATATCAGTAAAAATTGTAAAGAAGACACACCTAATCCTTCTATGCCTCCTCTTTATCATTGATCTTTCATTTCCAGGTGTGGGGACCCTCCATTTCTAAAATACAAACACCCCCAAGGAGGAAGGACATGGGCTTTCTTCTGAAGAGCTATACCATCCATTCCTTCGGAGGCCTTCACTGTGTTCCCAGTGGAACAGCATAATGGCTCTCTCCGGAGGAGTCCAGCCCGGCCAAAGGAAAGGTGAACTCAAGGACAAAGCCCTTTAGGCCAATATGCATAGACAGAAGGGAAGTCGGCCCTGCTGAAGTCTGAGCTACTGAGCCAGTTTGGTGAGTTGACAAGGGACTTCTTTCTCTACAGATTTTGTAAATAACTTTCACCTGGGACAAACTCATTTCCCAAAGAGGAGCAGGCAAACTCAGGCCTGATCTGTTCAGAGTTTTCTCCTATATCTGAGATGACCAGGTCTGGACAGATAAAGACCCCAGAGGCCCAAGGATGAATGGATTAAAGTGACACCTCTAGACAACAGTATGGGAAAGGGGATTGGGGGATGATGAAGAGGGTAAACGGGGTCAAATACATGGTGACAGAAGAGACTAGGCTTTGGGTGGTGAGCACTCAATACAATATGTATACAATGATATATTATAAAACTGTACACCTGAAACTTAATATAATGTTATTAACCAATGTTACCCCAATAAATTTAATTTTAAAAAGTAATCTGAAATAAAGGGAATACTACGTTCTAAAGTCACAAAGGTCTGATTCCCACCCCTCCCATACTGACTACTTAGGTGTTTTTATTTGATATATAAAATTTCCCCCTTCCCTCCCTCAGGTGCCCTTGGTTTGCTGGTGGCCTAAGCATTATCTGATTCTGCCTTGGGGTAATCAGGCCCTGGATCAGGTTAAGAAATTTTGTACCCATTCACCTACAATTCTCAGGTACTCTGCCAGCTTCAGAAGGAACTCACCCGCCTACAGAACCCATTTTCAGACAACTCACTGGTTCCTAGTAATATTTGATTTTTAGAAAGTATTAGGAAGGAGTAAAAGAAAATCTTTTAAAAAATCTGGTCTGCCTTATAAGGGAACTCAACTGGAGTTGCTAAAGGATCACTGTAGAGCCTGAACTTGACAACGATTGTTGTTCCACACTGAAGCTTGACTATAGTGAGGACTTTTAAATGATCAGAATCACAAGCCAGAGACCACAGGTGACACCAGGCAACAGCCGGCAGGCAGTCCCGCAATAAAATAATAATCAGATCATTTGGTTTAGCTGCTGAGGAAACCGCCCTGGGCCAAGCGGAGGGATTTAGGACTGGCTGGATGTGCGACTGGAGTCAGGGTGTGGTTGGCGGAGGGTCTGGGGTAATGCGAACGGGTTACTGGGAAGGGGGGGGTACTGGTATTAGCAAGAAGAGAGGTGCAGCACTTGGATTCTTAACTCAGTGACCTGCCTGGGTCTCAGCTTCCTAAACTGTAATGCAGTGAGTAGACTGAATTAAATGTGTAGTTTTCAAAATTCTTTTTTAAAGTGTTTGTTTGTTTCTTGAACAGAACTCTACTCTGAACTCCAATGTGCAAAGCAGCTAAAAGTGGAGCTCTTCTTAGGTGTGGGAACAGAGGGTGGCCAGGATCAGTGTAATGTCCAGGCCCCGAAATCCATTCCCTCATTTCTGAGGGGCCTTCTCTTTAACAACACCGGGGCTTCCCCTGGAATAGAGTTTGAAACCTACTGAACCTGATCTCAGTTCCCTTGTTACTTTAAAATGCCACAGAAAAGAGTGTAGAAGGATTAGAATACATCTGTTTCTTACATACACTTGGGGGCATTTGGTGGGGAAAAGTACTAAGTCACATTTCCATTAAAATAACTTTATTTACTTTATAATTTATCCTTTATCCACAGCCTAATCCCATCCTGTTCCTATTTCCACAGCATTGTTTTCATTTAATTATTAGTAGCAAGGCAAAGAAGCACTTTCTCCTACTTGAAAAGAGAAGGTTGTCACCTTGCCACTTAGCCAGTAAGAAGTCTTGCATGGTCTTACCACTAGCAAGTTGTGTGACCTTGGGTAAGTCAGTCAACAACTCCGAGCCTTTGTTTTCTCATCTATAAAATGAGGAGAGTGAGTCTAAAAGTCAGTTCCAGTTCTAAAATTCAAAGCCTATACACTGAGGAGGGGGAAAAGATCCTGTAACCCATAGATGAACCAAAAATGAAAGGTTCTCGACCCTCCTAGACAACCAGATTATTTATTTATTCAAGGTGTTACTCCTGTTTCATCTGCTTTAGGTGAGCCTAAAACAAAACTCCAGGATTCTTCAGATGAACATGTCTGTCTTGCATTATGGAG